ATGTCAGTGAGGTGATATTGCCCCCAAATACTGTCCCAGCTACCAAGAACTTAAGGGTCAGGCTTGCCAGGACTTTACTGCTATAATTTTTCCACTTGCTTTTTGAACTTATATAAACTCTTAGTATTCATAGTGCCTGTGGTGAGATCTTCTGCATCAACAACCTCTTTACTCACTTGCTTGTCCTTCAACTTCAACTGAGGCAACTTAGTTTTTAAAATCCTGTGTTTATATCTCCAAAATATATTTATTTCTATTCTCTGTTTCCACTAGTACTCTTTATTGTAATTTATTATTATTATTATTAAAACAAAATTAAAATTTGCTTAGTACAGGTTTCAGAATTATTACTCTGTAGTCTCCTGGTTCCCCTAGCATCTTTTATGAATAACATTGCACTTGTTATTTTACAGTTCCCTGATAACAAGGGAATTTTAATCAGGAGGTTACACCACAGTGAGTACTTCAACTATTTAATCCTTGAGCGCTCTTAGAATTCTTGGCTGGATGTTATCTTGTCCTGGAAACTACTTATTGTTCATCATGTTAAATTCTGCGACTTTTTTTTTTACTGCTGCTTCAATTTGAGATAGGTTCTCTAAAATGTTCTCCATGTAGAAGGCTTCCGACACAGGAAGTTCCCAAAGGCCTACTGTTATGAATGAGAAAGCAAAAAAAAAAAAAAAAAAAAAAAAAAAAAAAAAATTAAACAAAAAACGTTTCATAGATTCATAGAATGGCTTGTGTTGGAAGGGACCTTAAGGATCATCTAGTTCAAGCCCCCTGCCATGAGCAGGGACATCTTCCACTAGACCAGGTTGCTCAAGCTTTTTTTCCCCTAGTCTTTCTTGTTTTTTTTATTTGGATGTAACTTCAAATTTTTAAAAGGATGTTGTCTAATAGCTTCCTGCTGTGTAGTGTGTATGTGCAGGTATATTGTCTTTCTCAAACCTTTTTTTGATAGGCAATATGCATTTCCTCAGTTTCCTCTATGCTGCCTTAAATAGTCTCTGTAATCCCTGCACAGATCTTACCCCTTTGCTGCTTTTCATTTCTTTCAAATCACCATCTACATTATACAAAGTTCATCTTTTCCAAAAATCAATGCAGCTACAGTATTTTTTTTTTTCTTTGTATGAGGAGGTTAAATATAAGCAGATTACAGCTATTATAGCTCTTTAAAAGTGACTTCAGCAAAAAAATAAACAATCTTTTGTGCTGTTCAGAATCAACTCAAGAAGCACTAAGATCTGAGGTCTACTGAGCTCAGGTCTTCTGAGCTGCTAGATATAACAATTTCTAATAATGTCTGAAAATTTGATCTTCTTGTGTTGCAGTGTGACCTGTGCTTGCTCAGTGCTGGGGAAATAGCAATCTCCCATTTTGGCTGTTTGCTACCCTTGCAGCCTTTCTGTTTTCCCCCTGCTTGTAACTGTCGTGCCTGGACAGTGGGTTACATGACCCTGATATTCAGGCCTGGGATTTCAGTCCATGAGGTTTCTATGTTGCTTTTTAACAGAAGAACTTGTTTAGTTGATTTGGCACCAAACTTCAGTTTAACATTTAGGGTCAGTCTCCTTTTGAAAGTGGAATGGGTAATCTCATAGATGTTAAATGAATAAATTCCTTCAGGAAAATGAAATTATCTGCAAGGGTCTCTTTGGGCCTTCTGTGCTACAAATGGGAAGAAAGAACCACCACAAATTGTTTTCCCATGTTGTAGTAGGAGTGGGATTTTGAAAAAGACACTTAAAATACTACGGCAAAAATGGTGTACTTTGAACAGGAGTTATTGCAAAAAGTGTCGTCCCAAATTGGAGTTTACAACTCATTGCAGACACTGCTGGGAAATGTCACGATCTCTACCATACTATCAATGCTGGATTGTTCTTAAATGCACTTCTGTGACTGATAACACCAATTTAAACAAAAAGATACTGCAATATTTTCTAATTTTGAGTACACTTGTGGTCTGTTTAAAACAGGCTGGAAAAAATTGATGGGTGTTGCTAGTGGCTGAGAGAGAAATTGTAGCTTATGTTTGACTGGGACAGAGAATATTTTGCTATATTCGAGTGTTCCTCTGTGATAGTGTTTTTAAACAGATTGATTTGTCAGTTGAATTTATTATCCAGAATATGCTTCCAACTTCCATGTTTATTATATATTCAGTTAAAGTTGTTTGAATAAAAGACCCATAAAGTCTGCAAAGTCTTTCTTTTGAATAGGTCCTAACTGCATTTTTTTTTCTGTCTTTCTGAAGAACCTCTATGATACTCTGTATTAAAGAGGCATTATAAAATAAAAAGGTCTTTATGATACTTGAGGTGGGAAACATACACTCTGCAGGAAGATTTTCTCCGATTTGTTTGGTATTCAGAGACTGCAAAAAATACTTTTCATTTCTTAAGTAGAAAAAAGAAAACATGGATATTCTTAGTGCTGACTATCAAAGTTAAATGGAAAGGTGTTGCAGAAGATGTGAAGCATGCCAGCCGTTCCTGTTTCTTAAGATTTGTTATACGCAGTTTTTACTTAATTTGTCTCCATGTATTCTTTTTCCCAGGCTAATTTCACTTTTGCTTTTGTGGAAAATTTGAAGACTTATTCTGAGACGTGGCTTAGGATGTCTGAGGTTTTTAAAACCAGTGGAAATGTCCTCACGGTCTCACGACTGCAGGTTGGTGAACTGTGGGAGGGTTTCCTATTTTCCAGTTATTTTCTATGTGATCTAGACAGAATTTCTATACATGGAAAACTACTCATTTATCTGGCTTCAGGTTTGAAAAGAGATGAAAAAGAAGCAGATTATCTTTAGGTTAGGAGCCTGCAGTTTGATACTGAGAAACTTTGGAGGTGAAAATATTTAAAAGCAATGCTGCTTCATGATGCCCAATTTACCGGGCAATAAGGGAAACAAAACAACCTTTACACACTTATTTAAAACAAATGTAAGATTGTAGGGAGTAAAATATTTTCTGGAACTTGCTTGTTTATTGCTTGCTTTTTTCCAACAATATGTGCAACTGATAAAAAAAACGTGAAGAATATTAACTAAAAAAAAAAAAAGAGCATTGCTGTAACTGGGATTTTTCCCACTCTATGTATTTGCGTCCTTTTGTTTTCACCAATAAAATTTAGTTTTGCCATGTTTGACTTGTGAAAACATGCATGGCTCTTACACTGGGAAAACAAGCAGAATTCTGTCACGGCCTACATACCAATTGAACCATTTTTTAAGTTCAATGAAGGAATGATGCTAGTAATCATGTTTTAGACTTGCAGATCCCAGGTTGCTTTTGTACAGCTAATAATTTTCCCCACCCTTAGAACTTGGCAAATGAGGTAAAGAAGTTAAAATAATGTAAAAGTAATTCCCAAAAGCCATTTTTTTAAAGATATATATTTTACTACTGCCAGTGCTAATAGTATAATGGCCCAAAAGTCTTGCAGGAAAAGAAAATGGGTTTCTGTCCCAGCAGACTTGCAAGGACATTAGAATGGACTCACAATTAAAATGTTTGCAGTAAAGGAGGACAATGATGTGCAGCAATGGGGAGTATATGTTCTGCTGTTTATTTGGAGTGTGTGGAGTTAACCTGTTAAGAGGGGAAGACTGAAGCCATGGAGAGGCTAAGTGACTTCTCCAGTGTTATGCAGGAAATCTTGGTAATGGAATTGAACATGAATGCATATGTGTATTTTATATTTCTTGACAGAAGATAAGCCTGATATAACATCTATCACCTTTCATTTTAGGAAGCACTGCAAAGCAATTTTATAAAGCACTTTATAGAAAGTAACTTGGATATTGACATGGAAAAACTATTGAAAAAAATGCAAGTATATGGTATGTATGTAAAAGTACATGGACTAGTTCAGTTGAAATTGAATGTTTTACCTACTTAAATGATACTAAAGTACCAGAATTTAAATTCTCTTGTTGAGTTAGTCTCAAATATTTCTAATTGTCTTTTTTCTTCTGAGGGACTGGATAATTTGTATTTCAAAATATTGACAGACTTGAAAAATCTGGTAACAAATTAGAAATGGCAAACTGTCATGGGAGAGTTATAAACATAGGAGCTATACTTAAAAGGAGGGAAGGGAGAAGTAAATCTGGTAGCCACGGTTCCATTATGTAGTAGTAAATTTTTGTAGTAAATTTTTAAGGAAATCTATATACTTTAAATGGAAATAAATAGAAAATGAGATTGGATACAGTGTGTTTAATCAAGAGCTGTCTGTGGGTCTTTTGGCGGGTTTCTTTGTTGCTCCTTTTATTGAGAATTAGTTGCATGTGGTCTTCCTGAGCCTCATAAAAGCCTGTGATATGAGGGAGGAGAAAGGTTGGGCTCAGGTAGAGAGTAATCATGGTCAGGCCCAGCCCTGGGATGTCCAGGAAGGGACATGGGGGCGATGCTGAGGCCAGGCCAGGATGTCACCCTGTGGGTAGGGGTCTGGACACAGATCAGCAAGTCCATGGGCAGGTCCGCAGCCAGGCTGTGATGTGGTGGGAGCTGCAGCCTGGGGCAGGCCCAGCCACAGCTCTGTGCCGCTCTGCTGGGAAAAGAGTGCCCCTGGCTCAGGTGTCTGCATGGGGCTGCCCAGCAGTGTCCCTCTGGGTCACAGCCATCCTTGGCTTCACCCTTTCTGCATTGGTACTGGTCCCTGGCAGCCAGACCTCTAGGAGCAGAGAGTACGCCCTCCAGCACCAGATAGACATCCCAAGGGGAGCAGTTTAGAATGGAGATGAGGATTATTATGAGTAATTTTCGGTATATAGGGGTTTAAGGAGGAGGAGAAGAGAAAGGATTATGCTGGAAATTTAAGTTACTTAAAGATTTTATAAGGATTTGATAAATGAAAAAAAAATTCAATATGGCTTGCTGTCAGTAGGGTGGGTGCGTGATAATTAAAATGGTTGCTGACATGTGCCAGAAGGAATTGTTCCTACCAAAGAAGAGTCTAATGTCATTTAAGAAAAGCTCGTGATTTTGAGGATCAGAAAGAGAGAAAAGTGGGATAAAATGCAGTAACAGATAGTGTGACATCATGTACAAAGGGAGCTGGGTGCTTCCTAGAGGGAAGATAGTGGTAGAGAGGACAGACCTGTGTAGTTTGTTATCGGTGAGTATTAGGATAATTATGAGCCAGAGAAAAATCTGTTCCAGTCGTTTCTTGAAGGAGGGCAGTGATGACCTCTCAGATGCCCCCATGAAGGGGCTGCATGACCCTCATTGCTGTAAAGAACAGATTTTACAGCAATACAGGTTAAGTTTGCTCTACAGTCAAAGAATTAAGTCTAGAGCTAAAATAAACAAATAAATGTACCTGAAATGCAACTTTTATTGGATTTTGGTAGCTGCCTCTAAGCAGGAGATGGACAAAATCCACTGAAGCTCCTGAAAGCTTGTAAATGATGAAATGTGTTCTCAGTTTTAAATTATACTACTGCCCTGAGCTGGTGCTGTCATGTTTGGTGTGAGCTGAAGTTCTTGGCTCTTCTTTTAATTGAAGCTGGCCTCGATTTGAAGGCTAGAACTAGCTGTGCACACTTTCACTAAGAAAAATGGCAAATGGTGTCCAGAATCTAATCCAGAAAGTAAGAATCTGGGCTCAGTATCCTTAGGTGAGGGTCTCAAACTTGAATCTGCTCTCTCTCGGGAAGATTTTCTTAACCACAGAACGGTTGCCTAGTGTGGGTCAGGCACAGCTCACCCCTCATGGTGAAGCTGGATCACAATATAACTGAAAAGTACCCCATAGAATCACACAATTGGAAAGATAGGAGGGAGGAAAAAGCAAGTCTCTCAACCTGCAAGCCCTGCTGGAAACATAGCTGTCTCATTGTATTAGTTGAGTAATAGATGGATTTTGTTTGTTTGCACCGAATACTGGGAACTGCAGGATAGGTTATGGGCAAACAATATTTCATTAAGTAGATGTCAAGATCTCTGGAGTTATCAGGTCCATCTTCACTGTTGCAGACAACATCATCACAGAAATCTGTGCATGTGTTTCTCAAGCTATATCTTTTTAACAGAGCTAAGGACATTTGACAATATGTAATAAAAGGTTAATAGTTTTGGATGGTGAATACAGGAAATAATTTAAGTAGAATTGCTTATGAAACTAGAATTTCCTTATTTTAATGGAATATAGTCGATAAAATTAACATCATATAAAAAAGTGAAAATCAATATGGGCTATAGATCACCATAGCATTTATGTCTTTGTGAAGCTGATCTGTCCAAAGTGGCAGAGCACTCTTATGCATTTACACTTTGATTATACTTCTCTTTACATATTTGCATTGTCATTTTGCTTTATGAAATATTACTATGCCCCGTTATTTTTATGTTGGTTTTGTATATGCTTTTTTGTTCATTTTATTAGTGTATAATCTTGTGCAGCTGTTACTGTAAACCTCAGTTCTTATATTTTTTTAAAATTTCATTACTGTTATGCTGCATCAGCTTTTTAGTCCTGTAATTATTTCACTTGGATCCAATTAAAGTCTTAACTATATGCATATATGTTATTGGTTTGACCACTAACAATCTGTTTATTTCCATCCAAAGCTCAGGTTTTCTAAAGTCACATAATCTGTGTGATTATGTATTTTGTCTTTTAAATAAAGCAAATATTCCTTTGGTTTACTACATATACACTCGCATGAAGACTTCTAATTATGCTCAAATCCAATGTGCTCGTGTTTGTATCTTTTTTTTTTTACTTCTCTACAATGCTATGAAAATGGTTAACACTCTTAGTGACATGTTATTCACCCTGCTACTCCTGCTGGAAAGTGTCGTGGACACAGAGTGGATTGATGTAGAACTCTTCCAACCTCTCTATAAAATTACTATGCTGTAAGACCTCGCAAAGTTATAAATTTCTAAAACTGTTTTACAGGGTTACTGTGTCACTTTTACTCACCTGGAACAAAGTAAATATTTAACTGAGGGCAGAAAAGTTTGTGGTTTTCTTTTAAACCCTTCTTTACTTTTTAAACTAGCTTTGTGTGGGAACGCAACTGTATGCGTCTGCTTGCTTTCCGACCCAGCAATTTGCAATAATTTCCTGGGTGTAACTGATTTGATATAAACCCTGTCCCACTGGAATTTGTGAGCTCCTTGCTGGGCGCAGTCCCTACAAACCTCTCAAGAGGCACTGGGAGGCAGTTGTGCTGCAGGCTCTTCTTGTCGAATCTTGCTTGCTGATTCTCTGTCTTGTTCTGTGATTTCTCCCAGATGTTAAGTGTTTTTTTACTACCAAGGAATCTCCCTTATGGAGGGCTACATGTGACCTGGGATGTAACAGCAGGGTAAAAAAACACAGGCAGTTTTCCTCCATGCTACCCCTCTGCTGTCCTCATTGTAATGAAATAGTTTTATGCGTATATAGGAAGCTGGAAATGAATAACCCTAACATCGCCGCTGAAAACTGTGCCACCACCAAAATCACCTGATAAATAGAAACTTTCTCCTAATTTCTGACCTAATTTCATTCACTGCTGGTGTATTCCAATTTATTCTTCTTGCAACCTTTTACTTAAATAGCACTCCTACCTAGTAGAATTACCTAAATCAGTTGTATTTCCTCCCAGTTGCTTAGTAATGGGTTAAACAAGCTAAATGGAAGATGAGGGCTGAGTTGGTATGCAACAAAATATAAAGATAACAGTGAAAACAGATTTGCAGAGTTTTTTATTCATAATTGCTACATTTAACAACTTTCCCATTGATCGTATCTATTCATATATATGTGTTATTTCTATGCTAGAGTGCAGAAGTTCACACACATTGTGAAAGACAATATTTTGTTTCCAAAAATATTTGTGTGCCATACTCCAACCAAGCTGCAAGCTAGCTGTTATTCCTTATGCTAAAATATTCAATAGTTTAATTCACAAGAGAGAAGGGTTTTTTTTAGTTAATTGTTTATTTCAAATTAAAGTCTTTCAAAGATCAACTGGTGAAGAGATCTCTTGTTATTTTTTTTTTTTAATGTGTATGTATATAGGGCTACATATAATTACACAGACACATATATATATAAAAAAAAAATAAAAATATGTCTGAAAGCTTAACCCTACTATTTGGGCTTAACGTTAAGAATATTCTGTTGTGTCTAATGCCACAAAACAAGTAGCAGTATAGGTATTTTCTTTCTTGTCCTCCTCAAGGATAGCAGTAAATAAGACATATAGTATCTATTCTTGGAGCTGTTTTCTTTCAACCCATGAATCCACTCTGTCATTGCTTGCCTGTCATCTGGGTTCTAGACTATCAGTTCCTCTACTTTTTCTCCTTGTGATCTTTAGCCTTTCTCACTGGTAGTTGTGTCTCTTCTCCAGACTACTCCATATTTTTTACCACTTATCTGCCTTCCTATTGTGATATTTCCTGTGCTGATGCTGAATAGCACCTATTATCTACAGTTTGTCTGTCACAAGTGTGATCAAATGAGATCATCACCTATCCTTTTTAAAGCCTGTATCTTCAAGTGACTCTTGAAAAATTTAAGATGAAAACTTGTGTTGGAAGTTTTATAACATTGTTTATTACCTTAGAAATTCAGATGTTTCCATTAAATCCAGATGAGTTAAGATTGTTTCTAGATCATGCTATCCTTCTGGCTATTCTCTCAAAAATAAGGATATAGCACTATGTCTATATTCTTTACCAATGGATGAAGATCTGAATTCCTCCAAAGGTTCGGTGCTTTTGGAAACCAGGCTTTGGTTGAGGTATACATTCATCCTGGATCCATAGATAAAATCAAATTCCAAATGGAGGGGTTGTAGGCTTTTTTCAAATTCTTTTTAAATGTAGGGCTAGAGTCAAAATGCTTATGTCCTATATAACAAGGTACTTGAAATATTTGCAGTGTCAAGGAGAGAAGAAATGGCCAATACATCCCTAGATGAAAGAGATGGATCTCTGTTGTGATGTTCAAAGTACAGTAACTCGCTTGTATTTGTGGGAGTAGTTATGGAAAGAGAAGGAAATGTTAAAAGTCCTACAGCTTCAAGGACATGGTTTCTTTTTAGAACTTTTCTAGAAACTGTTACATTTTTATTGCTATTGAAGGAAAAAGTAGCTGAGGACTTGTAAAAGCCACTGAGATGGGAACTACACTTCCAGAAGTTCACACTAAAATTCCTATGTTTTTAAAACTTCCTCCTTTCTTTTCGAATACAAAGGGTATTTACTCTTATAGGATGTGCAAGTGAGAACATGCCTTTCTGTTCTGTTCATTAGAACTAAGGAAGTCCAATTTCTTTCCTTATCTTAGAAGCTATGATGAACAAGATGCTTAACAGCTCAGCAAGTAAACAGATTGACCTGTTGTCACAGCTTGTAGTAAATATCTCTTCCTGTGTGTTACTGGACCGTTTCCAGCCTTTTGACTCTGTTGAGAAATTGGAGGAGAAGGCTCATGAACTCATGCAGCAAAATAATTTTTTGGCTAGTAAGTACCTTATTTAAAATGTATATTGACAGAAAACATCAGACTTTGTAGCTGTTGTCTGTGTCTGTTGACAATGTAGGTTAAGCTTACATGGTTTCAAAGTGTGCAGTAAAACACATACAATACAGGCAAAATAAAGCACATTTACCTTAGAGGTATTCCCCAACAGTCAAATGCTGTAATATATGCTGTAAAAATATTGTTGTTTTATTTGTGGAACTGCCAAATGAATCCTTGGACTTTGTTATTTCTAACAAAATATTGAAAAGAATAGTAATAAATGTTTAAAGTAGAATAAAAAGAGCTGAAAAATGTATAGTACTGAGGAAACTTGGCTACTTATTATGACAAGATCATCTGGTTTGCATCCTTTCAAATTTTAATTTTTATATTCTTGGCTTTGCAAAAAGGAGGAAAGAAAAGGTTTTTTTGGTACGTGTTACTCTTAAACCAACATCTCAGAGAAATTAACTTGTTTATTCAGAGTAAATACATTCTTAAGCAATGGATTTTTTTTTTTTTTCTTCTTGGGGGTTACACTATCCTTTTCCCGCATTATATCCTTATTGCTGAGAATCAATTAATAGTACAAAAGTTTAAAAGACAAGAATGTTTTTCTTATTATGCACCCTTTCTCTTCTTGCATAAAATGCTTTAAGTTGCATGTAGCCTTTCCAAAAGAGAGCCCCATTTATGTCTATATAAAGTATGCCACATTTTTTTTGTCCCCTGTTGTTTTAGCTTTTATTGCCTCCATGGACTCCTGTAAGTAGACAATAGAAGGCATGTCAAAGTAGTTCTAGAGAATGAAACTACTCAGTCTGGAATCCTATGTCTGTTCTGTAACCTGCACAGTACCCCCATTTGCAGAATGTGGAAATGACCACTCTCCATCAATTTAGCATTAGGCCATATCATGAGATAAGGAAAATTTCTCAGGGTTACTTCATAGAAAGTGAAATTGTTGGCCCCTTCAAGGGAAGAAACAGACAGATAGATCTTGGCCCTCAGAAAACTGAATTGTCAAATTCTAGATCCATTTTGCTTTCACTTACATAGGGAAGGGTCATAAAATGACATAAGCCAAGATAATTCTTGGGAGTATTTTCAGCACTGTGGCCTTATAATCTCTTCACATGCTTATAGAGGTAAGATGGCATTTTAAGGGACCCAGTGTGTCCAACAAGTCAAAATTGCATGCTCAGATAGAGGCATACGTTCCTTTCTATAGTTAGATGTGAAACTAAAGTGAAATTTTCCCTGCTTGCTTTGTTTGTAGTCTTCAAAGCCTTCATAGACTCATGAAATGTCTTAGGAAATTAAGTGTTTGCATAAATGGGAGAATGAGATTGGACAGTTGAAAAAATAAGCTTTACAGCAGAATAAAGTATTCTATGTCATATTATCCTTCAGAGTGCTGGGAGGCAGGTAAGGCATCTCTCCCCTTTCCCAAGGGAAAAAGGACAACATTTCACATTCATCAAGAAGTCCTAAAAAGTTTGGGTCATCTACAAAGAAAATACAACCAATATGCTCTATTTGACTTCATCTTTCCAGATACAGATTCAGCTTTCATCTGTTTGGGTTTTTTTTTTTTTTTTTTAGTTTTTTAATCAGGGTTAGAGAAAATAAACATGCTGTGTTAAACCAGAAGTTTTGTAATTGACTCAAATTAAAAATCAGAGTAAATTTTAGTGGGTTGTTACTGTTTGTCACTTCCAGAGGTTGTTATGATTTGATGGACAAATTTTATGGCTGCTGCTTTCACTGTGGAACTGAGATCAAAAAGGGGTTAAATATGGATACAAAGAGAATAAACCACAATTCAAAAAAACAAATCAAAGAAGGAGTTTTCTGAGATAAAAATGATTGTTGCAAACCCATTGATCATGTGAATAATTTTTTGCATTTCACATTCATGAATGTAAAAAGAGTAAGTCTCTGTGAAATGTACCATTCTTGTGTTGGGGGTTCAAGAAACTTTAGAGGCCTGACCTGACGAGTAAATGTATCCTAATATCATATGACAATTGGCCATGAGTTAGCTATGTAAATAGCATAAATCATACAAGCTTGGGTATGAAGCTCCTTTTCTTCTTGTATCAGGTATAATCTTTGATATACCAAAGAACAAGACGCAAGATTCTAGCAAACTCCTTCCACGGCACATTTCATATACAATTAGAACCAGCGTTCTCTATAGCATGAGAACAGATTTGATTAAAAACCCAGCATGGAAATCCCATCCCCAGAAGTTGCCAGCTGATGGGTTTAAATACAACCACATCTTTATTCCTCTTCAAGACATGATTGAAAGAGCAATTATTTCAGCACAGACTGGGACAGATACCTCCAACCCAGCCATTCAGGTGCAAGCCATGCCTTACCCTTGTCATACCAGTGATCTGTAAGTAAACTTCCAGCTTTTAAATTCAATGTATTACCTTTATTAGATTAGTGCTAGAGGATGTGGGAAGCTACCGCGTCTTTGCAGGGGGTGAATGTATATCTCAGTACAGGATTGAACTTGTAAGTCCAATACCAATAAACAACATAGCAAAGATTGTTTAAAAGCTGTGACCACAACACATTATGCAACTTCTGTTTGGCAAGCGGTCCCTTATGAGCTGTTCGCAGCTCTACTGTGAAGTTGTCTGCTGGACAGAGACTGTGCCAACATGTTGTGCAACTAACTTAGATTATGCTAAGAAACCCACTTTCCATCCTTAATTGTCCTGTACACAAACTATAAATTGCTCTTTATAAAACCATCAAAACATCCTGACTATTAGAATTTAAAATTAGTCAGTGATAATATATCTGTTAAAGTGGAGCAAAAGTTGACTGGCTTATGTTATTCCTTACTGTCCAAATATATTACTTTGTCATAGACACGAATCTGAATTCTGTTTGAATTTGAATGGAGCCCTAAAGGCTGATTACATCAGTTTTATTGTTGGCAAATACTAAGATAATGTTATAGTACCAATACATATATTTAGCTGGTTACTTGAAGAATAAGCAATTCTAACCAGAACAAGAATAAGTCTTATTGCTTGTGTCAGATCTTATTTTGTGCATGCTTTGGCAATAGTTCTAGCATTCCTCTGTTGACATTCTACTAAAAAACCTTCTGTCTTTGGGCGCTAACAACTCTGTATGTATGTGTTTTTCATAGATTCTTGAACAATATAGGTTTTTTTTTCCCACTTATGATGATGCTAACATGGATGGTTTCAGTTGCTGGGATGGTTCGCAAGCTGGTTTATGAACGAGAAATTCATCTTGAAGAGGTAAGAGGCAGATTAGCCTCTGAAAATAAAATTGATTTATTACAGTGTACTGAAATATAAAACTTAAACTTTGAGGTACTTTCATGCAGTCATAATCCAGTTGGCTTTGTTTTCACTTGTTTCCTCTGGGTGGTATGTTCTAGTTCTACCTGCCAACTCAGATTCACAACTTTGTCTGAGCATCCGTCCTCTTAGTATGCAAATATTTTTCTGGAGACAAAAAGCAACAAGCAAAAGATCCCTAAAAGTTGAAACTGAAAACTGTTGTTTGGAAAAAGTCCTTGTGATTAGAAAGTGTTTTTTTTTTAATGAAAAATTGGCCGTTTACTGTGTAATTATCAGAAATATAAGGGATGATGACACAGAAAAAAATAAGAAAATTATTCGCTTACATCAACGGCTAGTTTTAGCAGGTGCTAAGCATATGCAAGCACAGGGGGGTTTATGATACATTTTCTGTATTAATAAATGTACTTTTTTTTTTAAGAATTATACTGGCCTTTATACTGCTGGAGTAATTTTTTTTTAATTTGGGAAATGAGATAATTTCTCAACTTTGTGTTGTAAGATAGGCCTTATTTTTTAATGCTTTAAAATATTAAATCAACTTAATAAAGTTATTTTTTGTTATTTTATGAAAAATGCTTCAGAAGTAATATTAGCTTGTTTCCAAAAGCATGTTTTTCAAAAAAGAGGGATGATACTTCACATCTGGTTAAATTATTATTTGCATGCTAACACATAAAAGCTTACAAGCGTACCCATATGTTACTTTTAGTTCAGCAACAGTCTGGGGAAAAAACATTTGTTTATACAGTGTTGTAGATATCTTTAGTACTTTTTAGAGTATAAAAACTCACTGGAGGATCTAGTAATCTGACATCTGGTTCTGTAACCCTTTGCAAGAGAGAGTTGTGCCTGAGCATGAGGATTCCTCAGGTTAGTATGCATTAAGCTCAGATCGTGTTTGATCCAGGAGAGAGCAGCAGAAGGGGCAGCACAGGAAAAGGGAAAAGAGACAAGTAATTTAAGGGGAAGATGAGATCCTTTGGGAAGCTGGTGGAGTCTTGGTGGCAACATGTTTTGCTTAAAAAAAAAAAAGAAAGACGAAGAGAGAAGAAAATTTGTTTCCTAACTTTAACTCTTTTTGCTATTTTGTTGTCTTGCAGTATATGAAGACAATGGGTGTACATCCAGCCATTCATTTCTTTGCTTGGTTTCTGGAGAATGTCATTGTACTCACAATAAGCAGCTGTGCACTGGCCATCATTTTAAAAGCAAGTGGTATCTTTGCTTATAGCAATGGCTTCCTCGTCTTCCTTTTTCTCCTGGATTTTGGAGTTACAGTTATTATGTTAAGCTATTTTTTGGGAGCGTTTTTTAGCAATGCCAATACAGCAGCTCTGTGTGCAAGCCTTGTGTATATGATCAGTTTTTTACCCTACATAGTTTTGTTGGTGCTGCAGAACCAGCTGAGTTTCACCAACCAGATTATAATGGTAAATATTTCTTTTCCTTTTCTAATTTTTCTCCTCCAACTATGCTGTGTTTTTCCCAGGTTTCTGTTTGCTTTTATGTTTCACTGGAAATAAGTCACATTCATAGATATCCAATTAAGAAAATGTTTTGAATGTAGAAAGAAATAAATAATAATTTTTCAGGGAGATTTTGTAAACCTACAGAAAATATAAGGAAGTTGTATTCCTCATGTTCGTGAGTAGTCTTTATGTTTTTGCCTCAAAATATTTATAATGTTTGTGTACTTTCAAGCACACCTGATGACATGCCACTCCTGAAAGTCGTTATTTGTTTGGAGAAAAACTAGTGACTGATTCTCTGTTGAGTACAATTGGGGATTAGATCAGAAATTTGTCTAGTGCCTGTCTGGCTATACAGTTTGAGGTATTTGTTTCTTTGGCATCTGTTCTTCCATGTCCTTTGCTGGTTTATGTGTTTGTACTGTCTTAACATACTATATCCCTGATCGGGACATCAAATATCACCATCATACAAAGCAAACTGTATTTCACACATTATGACTTCATTCTTTCAAAATAAGTCACATACCAAATTAAGCTGGTGGAATAACACATGCTATTAAAAAAAATGGATGCTTTTTCAGTGTCAATCAGTCAGATAAAATATATTTGTTCTTTGCATACGAGTAAGTACAGATGTAAGACTGCAGAATTCGGGCATAAATAGGCAGGGTGGAATTTTTTTTTTTTTTCCTGTTGTTTTTGTCTCCCTCCTTTGGGTGGCAGAGAGGGAAAAGTATGCATTGGATAACTTGCACACTTTAAAAGCAGTTATTTCAAAATAACTCTTTAGATATCTTGCACTTGCTGAAAATCAGAGGCATTAGCATGTGAAAAAAGCAATAATTTTTGAAGAGAACGAGAGGTCATTAAGTGAAACCTTAGCAATGTAAGAGGCAGGGACTCGGTGGGAATTAGCATGAACTCCTCTGCACAAAAATGCCACTGATGATTTTGAATTTTTTTTCTAAGTAGCAGCCTATGTCAGACTTTCTTCAGACAGCTGGCAGGATGTTTTTCTTTTGTGTCAAATATTGCAGAAGCCTTATTTAATTGCATTATTTTATAACAGGAGAAAAAATGAACTTCTATTTCAGCTCAGTTTCAAATTGCAGAACTTCATTACTGAGTAATGCTTATTAATTTTAGTAATGTTTTGGATCTTCCCATCAGCCTTCATGAGCTCGACAGCGATTTTCCATTGATCATCAGTTACACTTCCTTGTTATACTACATCACTAACTTGCTTATTTTCCATTTTGTACTTTTGTGATACAGCATGACTATGTTGGTTCTTGCAAGTCAAAAGTTACTTCCTTGCACAAAAACGCTGTCTCAGCATATAGTACCCAGTGTGCATGTTCCTTCTGCCTCTGTCTCTTCTTGAGCTCTGGTCTTTCAAAAATGAGTAGAACCACTGCTTTTACTACAGAAATTATATTTCTTTGCATGCTTTTACAGTATTATACATTATATATTTTCAGTCTATGATAGATTTATTGTGGCCTGTAACTTGTTACAAAGTTAAGTAATGCTTTTCAATATTGATAACTAGGTCAGTGGAGCTCTTTAAGGTGGAGCAAATACTGCTTCAGTATGTGGGGGAGTATTGCTAAAACATAAAAGAAAATAATGACCATTAGCCTACGTGTAGCAAAGGTCTATTTATTTTGTGCTTGCTTTTAGTATCACAAGTTATTTTATTTCATGGAGCTTGTAAACGATGTGTTTTATTTGATGTTCACTGTTTCTCCTCTGGTGTTGCAGTGCCTTCTGTCTACAACTGCCTTTGGGCAAGGAGTATTCTTCATTACATTCTTTGAAGGCCAAGAAATAGGTAAGCTCTCTGGTTAGAAGAAAAGGTTTGTAATTATTATTTCTAAAACTACAGTTGGAAATGTTTTTCACTTTGATCTGAAAAAAATCTCTAATAATGAGTTAACAGGGTAGATCATAACAGGAGAAAAAACCTTTTTAAGGTCCCTTGAAAGCCAAGTTAAGCTTGTGCCACTTTCTACCAGTAAATTAAAGTGGGCTTAGCATTGCTTTATTTTCAATACACGTTGGAGCAAAATCTCCACATCCCATTAGATGACAGAAAGAATGTATTCAGCAAATGAAATTGTTCTAGAGATGCAAACCCAAACTTTATATTTAGTGAAATTTGGTAGAGCTACCTAAGGGTGAGCGTCTGACTGAATGATTCTCTCATTGAATGTGTTACTTCTCTCAGTGCAGCGGAGGAAGCTTTGGCAAGGCATTTAGAGCAGTTTCTTAGAAGTCCTCATTGATGTCAGTGGCAGCTCTAATGCTTGCTTTCTGGTGAGGATATCAACAGGGAGTTTTGTAGGATCACAAAATGGTTGAGGTTGAACGGGACTTCTGGAGGCAATGTAGTCCACCCCCGTTGCTCAAGCAGGACCACTTAGTGCCGGATGCCCAGGATCATGTCTAGATGGCTTTGGAATATTTCCAAGGTTGGAGACTCTGCAGCCTTTTTGGGCAACCTATGCTAGTGCTCAGTCACCCTTACAGTGAAAACGTGTTCCTGATGTTCATTGGGAACATCCTGTGTTTCAGTTTGTGCCTACTACTTCTTGTCCTGTCACTGGGATATCATCAGCTGTCTTTGTGGCAAGGACACATTGCTGGCTCATGTTCACCTTCATGTCTACCAGGACTCCCAGGTCCTTTCCTGCAAAGCTGCTACGCGGCTGGGTATTGGTACATGGGATTGTTCCTCGACAGGTGCAGGACTTTGGACTTGTTATTAAACTTCGTGAGGTTCCTGTCAGCCTGTTTTGTCAGCCCGTTCAAGCCTCTCTGGGTGCCAGCATGACCCTCTGCCATATCAGCTACTCCTCCCAGTTTGGTGTCACCAGCAAACTTGCTGAGGATACACTCTGCCCCATTATCCAGGTCATTAGTCAAGATGTTAAATAGGATCAGACTCAGCATTGGCCCCCTGGGGTACGCTGCTAGTTACTGTCTTTCAACTACACTTCATGTCACTGATCACCACCCTCTGGGCCTGGCCATTCAGCCAGTTTGCAGTCCACCTCTCTGTCTACTCCTCCAGCCTATACTTCATTAGCTTCTTTAGGAGGATCTTATGGGAGACAGTGTCAGAAGCCTTACTGAAGTCCAGGTGGACAAGATCCACTGTCTCCCCTCATCTACCAGGCCAGTCTTTTCATTGTAGAAGTTTAATCAAATCAGTCAAGCATGACTTCCTCTTGGTGAAGTTATGCTGACCTCCTGATGATACTCATGCCCTTCATGTGCCTGGAGATGATTCCAGGATTAGCTATTCCATCACCTTCCCAGGGATCAAGATGAGGCTGACTGGCCTGTAGTTACCTGGCTCCTCCTTCTTGAAGATAGGAGTGATAACTACTTTCACTCAGTCTTTGGGCACTTCTCCCAACTGCCATGATCAAGCAAAGATTATTGAGATTGGCCTTACAATGCCGTATGCCAGCTCCCTCAGTGCTTTTGGGTGCATCCCATCAGGGTCCATAGACTTATGTATATGCAGTTTGCATAAGTATTCCCTGACCTGATCCTCTTCCACCAAGAGGATCATCCTTGCTCCAGACTTTTCCCTTGGTCTCTGCGACCTGGGATTTCCAAAGACCAGACTTGCTAGTAAAGACTGAGGCAAAAGTGGCATTCGGTACCTCAACATTTTCCACATCCTGTGTAACCAGGTACTCTGTCTTGTTTAGCAAAAGCCCACATTTTCCCTGGTCTTCCTTTTGTCACCTATGTGCTTCTTGAAGCCCTTCTTGTTGTCTTTGACATCCCTAGCCAGATTCAATTCCATTTGGACTTTAGCTTTCGCAACTTCATCCCTGCATGCTCAAACAATGTTTCTATATTCCTCACAGGTTATCCATCCTTGCTTCCATCCTCTATATGCTTCCTTTTTGTGTTTGAGTTTGGCCAGGAGCTCCTTGTTCATCCATGCAGGCCTCCTGGCGTTTTTACCTGAGTTCTTGTTCATTGGGTTAGACTACTCTTGAACTTGGCAGATGTGTCTGAATTCACACGTGGATTAATGTATAACACAATGGAGGTTTATGAGAACAATATTGTACAGAACAGGAACAGTGCAAGTTATTCACTCTCAACATAATGCTAAGATAAATATTTAACTATTATACATTGGGAAGTAAGAAAAAATTACCTTTACTTTGTAAAGTATTTCATACATTTCTCCTGTGTGACCATATTCATACTCGGCCTGAGCAGCAGCTTGTCTCTGCAAGCTTGGAGGCAGTTGGTGAATTCCCCATTGAGCTACTGTGTAGGTGCATAAACGCACGAGAACACCCTACTATGTCTAAGTGTTAGGAAGAAAAAAAATGTTTGGAAACTGGCTAAATGTTCTAACAGGTTGCTACATGTTTTAACATGGTTACACCTACTATCCCCAAGCTAAGAGCTGCCCTTGTTGATGCTGAAGCTTTAGAAAAGAAAGAATTGAATGTCTGAGCCCTTGATAAATGTCTACAAAGGATATGCATTCATGTATCTAAATAGATAAAGGGATCTATCTAAATAGATAAATTTCTTTTTTTACTAATACGGCAAGATCTATATTGATGAGGGTGGATGTTACAAACCACTGCATTGAAAAAGTATCATCATGATACAAAAGTTGGTAAGAGAGAAGAGACAGTTTCAGAAAATATTACTTAAATTTCCCACCAGACACTTCATCAAAATGACTCATCTCCACTGAAGAAAGGGCAAAACGTGCTTTGTGGAAAAACTGCTTTTCTTGACAATTGTAGAAAAATATTGTAGAAACAATACCATGACTCACTGTACTGCAAAAAAAGTAGCATTTGCAGAAAAAAAAAAATGCAATGCTTTTTGTAAATCTACAATTTGGTTACTTTTGTTTTCCATTTAGCAATATGGTAGCTTTCTGTAGTACTAGTGTTTTGCACCTTCTTTCTTCCTTTCAAGTCTTCTGCAATGTAATAATTTTATGAAGCAATTATTCAGTGAGTTTGTTGTTCCATTTTACCTCTGTATACAGTCAATGCACAAAAATACTTACTTCTTAGTTTGAATTCACAAATTTATGTTTTCAGATTTAGCATTTTCGAAATTACTTTAAACTTTGCGTAACTCATATCTTTATAGTATCGGCAGAATGGTATAGAGCCTGATTCATTCATACTGATTCATCAGTACCCCATTTTGTCAGAGACTCGTAGTTCTTTTTCTTTTGCCAAATCAAGGGCCAGCTATAAGTTCATAAACAGCCCTTTCTACAACAGCTTGTCTGCATTTTCCCAGCAGCAGTGTCACCTGCTGTTCTAAACCGAGGCACATAGAGGCATAGCGATTCATTTCTATTCATTAGAATTACTGTTATTAACTATGGTCTTTTTTGTGTCAGTGCTTAAATAGCCAGAAGTGTGTGGTGTTGATGTGTTTGTGGTCTTTAATGCTGTACTGATTTAGCTGCGACCTTTTAAAAATCATTATTATTATTACTGTTACTACCAGGAATTCAGTGGAATAATGTGCACCAGTCAATGGCACAGGGAGGACACATGACCTTTGGATGGATGTGCTGGATGATGTTCTTGGACTCTATTTTATATTCTATAGGTGGCTGGTATTTCAGCAATATAATTTCTGGTAAGATCATGGGGTTTTCTTATTCCATGTTTTTGAAGAAATTATTGAATGGAATGGGTAGAATTGCTTTCCTCATTGTATACAACTAAACCAAAAATATATCTTTTTCTGAGTTAAGCTTTTGATTGCCTTTAGGGACTGGGTACAAGTCTTCCTACGTACATAAATAGTGAGTAGTGCTAACTACTACACGGACTATGTAGCCAGGCATGAAATATCTTTTGTTTACATATGAGGATGACTAATATTTGACGGACTTAGGAATTTGTTGTTGGTACTTCACAGTAACAGACCTTAGTCTAGTAGCAAAAATTGCTGTAAAAATGGAGAATCTTCTGAGTCAGTACTTGGCTGAAACTCTTGAACAACACCACATTTTCAGACCACAAAGACTTTGAACTGCCTGGTAACTGTATCTTGCTACCAGTCAGTCCACAGTCCAATGCATAAAGAAAACTAATTAACTTTCAAGTATATTTTCAGAAACTAGTGGGATTTTTTTTTTCATTAACCCAAATTTTATGAATATTATTGAGTTGGTTGATGCATTTTTAATTGTAGCCTAATGCCTCACTAGCTGTTTGAAATTTCCTTTTCCTCTGATTTGCATATGTCACCTTTTCTTCCATGTACCCTATGTTTGTTTTAAAAATATAAAAATAAAAAAAAAAAAAATTGCCTTGAAAGATAGGGGTGTGTAGAATATACAACTGAATTTTACAAACTTTAGCTTAAATTGACAGCTGCCCTTCAGTGGCAATGAAACGCAACTCCAAACACAAGAGAATATATTGTGTGATTTGAAAGTGAAGCCTGGAAAGATTAGGCAATGCCAAAGTTTAGGTTGTGTATAGGAGCATATTTTTGCCCTTTCTGCTTGCGTGCTGCAATAAATGTTTCTTATGCTGGGTGATTTGTGTAAATTGTGCAGATAATAATGGAAGAATAATCTTTAATGATTGGTGCAATTGATTATTGTTACAATAAAGAATAAAGCTCTTTGCCTTGGCAGGCTATTTGGTGCGTTTTCTTTCTTCTAGGTCACAAGATTATGTTAGATTGTGGCTACATATTGTTAAGTCTATGATTCTGTTACACTTTAAAGCTGATTTAGAGGTAGGGTAAAACACAGTATCACTGAGGATTGATTAATTTATGGCAGGACCCGGTATTATGGCCTAATGACTTTTCTTCTACCTTATTAAGGTTTGTTAAGTTCAGCTATGAGCTTGAGCTAATTAAATGGTGTAACCATTTGTAAGTAATGACAGGACATTAGTAGTCTACAAACAAATATAAAATAACTATAAATTTTGCAACAGTTTCTATCATAATTATCACCTAGGAAAATGTGGATTAAAGAACCGATGGTACTTCCCTTTTACTTTTTCCTACTGGAAGAACCTGTGTGGTGTAGAGAGGAGGAAGAGACATTATCTGAATTCTAATATGTTTTTCTTCAATGAAAACTTCCAAGAAAAAGGTTTGTAGTCATATTACAATTTTAATAACAGCTCATTTATGAATGGTGTGCTGATTTTGATCACTCTGCTTTTATCATTGCTTGGTCCTGTATTGTGTGTTTAAGTCTTGTCCCTTTCTCTCCTCCATTATATAGTGTATACTATGAACACTATATACTAACTGTTAATTGTGCTGTCACCTGTAATTCTTGAATTGTTCAGTTAAAACTATTGTACACAAATATTTAAGAAAACTCTTTAAAAAATGTAAAACAAGTATCACTTGGGTTCATCCTGTCCCTGTGTATTGCTTCTTTGCTTTGTTAGGATCTTCTGAAGTTCCTTGAATCATTTCATACTCTTACTGAATCTGAAAAGTGTTGTGTTTTGTTAACTTTTTTTTTTTTTTTTTAACTGCAGCTTGATTTTCTTCCTCCTCCTCTGCTGTTTTTATTTGCTTCTTGTTTCAGTGGAAAAATTAACTTGGTTCATTTCTTT